CTGACAACACCCTCTACTGTCTAACAGTCAGGTTCGGCTGTGATCTGCTGCAGTGACAACACCCTCTACTGTCTAACAGTCAGGTTCGGCTGTGATCTGCTGCAGTGACAACACCTTCTGCTATCTAACAGGCTGTAACTGTCAGGTTCAGCTGTGATAATTTTGAGGCCGATATAAAAAAGCTGATACTGTTTCTTATGTACGCAACAGCCTGCCATAGCAGAAAATAGAAAAGTGTTCTCTAAAACATGACTGCCTTTGAGATATATACACATGCACTTCCTCCGAATGTCTAGCCATCCATATCTCTTCATCGCTGCTTTACTCTAAATTAACTAGAAATAATGAAGATGAGGAAAAAAACCCAGCCAATTCTCTTCACCATGTGTTCACTCAAAGCATAGCTTAATTTACTTTTAGACATGATTACATATATGCAAGGCTAGTCTCACAAATACATTTCTATCAAAAATCAACCCAAGCAAAGAAAGAAGCTTATGGGCACTAACATGGGACAGACTTGTGCTCCACACTCGAGCCTCTTTGTTTTAACGACAGAGCCATTGCGAACTCAGGCAGGGTCCTTTACTGTTCTATGGTCTAGCCTCCACCCATAACAGAGATATTGGTGACAATTAACTGCCAGGCCATGGTGTTAAAGATGAACCAGGGAAATGCTTAGGCAGCACTGTGAGACACCGAAAGTGCTGAGAACATGGCCTGGGAACAGCAGTTGTGATGGTCACAGTTAAGGAACCTGGCTGTCTGGCTGTCCTTTGTATGGCGGAGAGTACCAGTAACTTCTGAAGGGTAACTGTTAACTGTTCCAAACAGCTCCACAACATCACTGAGGACTGGATGCTAATCTGATCACCCTCTAGATGGCCCAGACTTTGGTTCAGACCCAGGATCCAGGGAAGCTGTAGCTACACAAATTCCTCTTAAGTACTGGCTTATTTCCACTTGGATCACCACCCTCCTAGTCCAGACCGTGGTTTTTCTCACTTGTCACAGTCTCCTAAATGGTCTCCCTGTCTGCAATCTTGCTCTGATCCAATCCACTCTGAGCTGTAGTCAATATGACTTTTCTTAAATAATCTAATTTTATTATGCTTGAAATAAAATTCAAAATCTTGCGTCAGGCCATCATGGCCCTTCCTAATTTGATGACACCTCTCCATGAACACCTTGCTGGGCTCCCTCCTGCCCACAGTCTCGTCTCTCTACTCCTATATATCCCACCATACTGAACATTTTACTGGGGATATGGACTGTGCCCTTGCTCACAGTGGCTCTTTGCTTCAGTTTTTCAATTTTTCAGCATCTCCAGGGCTTAGTACTGTTCTGGAACATTTTTAGTGCTCAATAAATATTTGTTGAATGAATGAACGAATGAACGAATAAATGAGGCAACGAAATAGGACATGAGATTTGGTACATGATATGTAGCTAAAGCCATACCTCATTATTGCTACTTAAAGAAAATAGTGACCATTTATCTTAAGTCCATTAATCTGAAAGAGTTTCAATTTAGAAACACTTCGTACCACGAACGCTAAATTGGTTCTGAAAATAAAAAAATTAATTGCTTTGACATTTCTAAGTCTAGTGCCTTCATGTCTTCATATAAACGAACACTTGCGACACAGATAGCTCAGGTGAGATGACAAAATCTCCTCCTTTCTCTTAGATTCATGGTAGTTAATTAACTTCTCATTTTAAGATAAAAGTTGCTGGGACTGTTTACCTGGGGCTGGTGTGAAAGCAGTTCAAACACCTATAAACTACATTACAACGAAGTTCGACAGTGTAGATTTTAAATTGCAACTCTGATGACCAACTATACCAATCTGGTCTGGGAGGTTTTCAGCCCACCAGAAGGATGAGGACAAAGGAGATGATACTGACTCTGGACTCCGTGTTGTACCTCTTCTGAATATCCCCAAATTCATGGTTTTAATGGGTAGTGTATAAAAAAGACAATTACTGCAACAATGTACTTGATACACACAAAGACTTCAACATGAAACTACCACTGTTTACCAAAAAAAAAAAACCCACCACCACACACACACATCACAAATCGAGGTCAACAAACATTTGAAATGAAGTTCAGATAAGAAAGATTTTGATGCCTGGGCCATGAGCTATGTTATGCATAAGTTATGCATGAAGCTAAATGTTTGGAGACCACTTAGAAGAAAGGCTGGAGCAGAAACACGCCACTTGTGTCTGGAGGCTGAAAATAAGCAGCAGACTGAAAACCCACAGTAAGAGCAGCTGTAGCTGCAAGGGCCACTCACCTGCCCGGAGACGCTCTCCAGTTTTAATAGCCTCTTCCGTGCTCTGTGGGATTTCTATCAATGGCACAGGCAAGGTCACCCTAGGGTCATGACTCAGCAATGTCTTCTTGGTTAAGAACAGAGCTTCGGGATATGGTGTGAAGTGCTCCTTACCTCAGGATTTCAGATTCGGGGACTTAGGCCAAACAGAGGTACAACTCCCTGGTTTGTCACCTGCAGGTGTACACTAGAAAACGGCCCAGAAGAGGGCAGTCACAGCACCAAATGCAACATGTAAAACCATGGCACACAAGCTTAGAGCTGATGGCATCAACCAGGAAGACAAGAGAGGGTTACTCGTAGCTCATGGCTTTGATTCAAACAAAACGGAACCCAGATCAAAAGAAAGTTGCATGTTTTTCTCTTCTCTGGATGAAGATTAAGTGTGGCTGGTCAGAAGTATCTCTGCTGGTTCCCCTTTAGGAATGCCTGAAATACCTGTAAAGCCATTTCAAGTCTCCTAAGACTTGGCCTTTCAGTATCCACAACATTAAGAGCAAATGGAGTACTATTTAAACCATGACCAATGACTCATTAAGGCACTTGTAAACTAAAACACTTGCAAAATGTCAAGCCATAAGACGTTCAAGGAGGCAACGCCTTAGAATCTAAACTCGTGTACACACACACACACACACACACACACACACATCTACAGAGACACATTAGTGTAGACAAAAATAGGTATAAGAACACACATAGACATGTGCATAAACACAAAGACACAGAAGCAGACAGACACATAGACACACACTCATATACACATATACACATTAATAGATACACATATACACAAAGCACATACAGATAAGTACACAAATACACAGAAAAACAGGCACAGATACATACATATATAGACACTAACAGACAAACATACACAGAGATATCCCCTTTTCCTTTCAACTGAGTGTCCTTTGACCTCTCCTTACCCACACAACTACCAAGAGTCATTGCCTCTGTCAGACCATCTGCGTCATAGTGGGAAAAAAAAGGCTGCTTTTTGCTAACTCTTCTTGTAAAGGTAGCAAGTATCTGGCAGAGAACAGAGGGCAGGGAAGCTACATCCTGAGTGGGACACAGGTAGGAGCATGGCACAGAGCATGCAAATGGAAACGAGACAGAGCAATAAGGAACAGAAGGAGTGGGAAGGTGGGCAAAGTAGTGAGCTGAGGATTGTAAGTGAGACTGGGTCAATACTATCATTAGTTTATGTTGCTACATTGGAATAAGAGAGAAGACGACCACAAAGCAAGTCTCTCATTCGACATTCAGAGGAGAATTTTATAACTCTTCATGGTTTTGCATTGCATTACTTGGATCTGGGATTTGCCAACTGTTCTTTGTGCTACAGTTAGGTCAGCTTAGGTTGAACTGAGAAATAACTATGCACTGTGATGCCACGCTAACCGATCCTCACCATGCAGACTCCCTGACTGTGTGTTCATTCACTGGCTGAAAATTATCTTAGCACCCACATCAGTGCTTTCTGTGCTCTGGCAGTCACTTGCAGACATAACTGAGTGGTAAAGCAAATCTTCGAGGTGAGCCATCTCATTCAGATGACTCTGTCCTGTACGGCTCTCGTAGTGTGAACAGTTCTAGTGTGTGTGTCCTTTTGAATACAATGTTTTTGCACTCCTGTGGCCCTTAGGAATAGTGTCTACTGCTGTAATGCTCAAGAGGACTGTAACAGGCTAGTAAAGAAAACACATGCCTGTCAAGAAAAGCCTTCCTCAGGTAGACTTACCAGCCCCACTGGTAAGTCTTATAGACCAGGCAGTGGTGACATGCACCTTTAATCCCAGTAGCCACACTAGTTTGCAATAGAAATGGAGAAGTATGGTGCATGCCTTTAATCATAGAGAGGAATATAAAATAGGAGGAGACAGCTCTCACACAGAGTCTCATTCTGAGAATTCCTGGAGGCAGGATCGCCAGTTCAGACTGAGGTAGAGGTAAGAGCCAGTGGCTGGCTGTTTTGCTTTTCTGACCTTCAGGTTGAACCCCAATTTCTGTCTATCAGTTTTTCTTAATCATGCTACAAAAAATGATTGGCTGATAAAGCTCTTGGGACCAGTAGCTCAAAGAAACTAACTCTGTACTTCCTCTAAGAACACTGGTTCAGTACTCAGAAATTAAGTGTTTGAGTCTACTTACAGATCTGAACTACCACAGATGAAAATATCACCTACATTTACTAATTAATAACTGATCTAGTCAAGACAAAAATGTGAAATGCACACCGAAGTTTAAGTAAAAGGTCAAAGAAAAATTAGTCAAAAGGATTATGATACCTAAAAAGTGAAAAAGAATTGGTAATTTTTCTCTTTAGAAGGTATAAGTGATAAATTCACTCTTTCTCTCGGTACAAAAACGAGCCCAGGGTCTCTCACATGCCAGGCACGTGGTTCTCACCCAGTTACAGCTCCTCAGCCTCCCGTGAGCCTTCAGACAGTGCTTTCCTTATGGATTGCCTGCCTAAAACAGAACTCTTATCATTCAGAGGAGCAAAAGCCCTCACAAGGAATCAAACACTAAACTGTAAGTTTTAGGATTTATCACAATTTAACTTCTGAATAATCTTAGCACATTTTAAAGAAGACAGCTGATACAGTCAAGAGCAACAGAACAGTTCTTCATCTGTAAAGATGATTGAAGTGAATGCCCAGTTCCTGCCAGTCCAGCTACTCACTGTGCTACCATGTATATCAAAAAGATAGCTTACAACACTCACCTAGAAATGTGTCAAATCTTAGAAGACCACAGCCTCTTCCTCAACTTAATAAGGCGGCCTGCACTGCCTGACCGTATGCAGTTTTAATTTACTTGGAATTCTGTGCTCATACAGACCAGGGCCTCCAGCACTACATGGATGAGGGTGTTTCATCTTCCAAGCACTGAACTACTACATACAGACACATGCCACCACATGCGATATTTAGTAGTAAAGCCTTACATGTGACCAGTTCCAGAGAGGTCACCTGTGTGACTGAGGACAGCGGCAGTAGGAGAACTTTTAGGTGCCCACTGAGGTCAGAAGAAAGCCCCAGCACAATTAGCTCCTTGTATAATAAGCTGCTCTCTCTGCTGACTCCCTACCCGGGGGAGAGGAACACAGACTGAAGGAAACTGCTCCTTCTGGATTAGAAGGTTCCTTACCTGGCCATGCTCTGTCCTAGCCCCAGGGCTAAACCAGTGGCTGTGGAGAGAAGAAGAGCTGTTAGCTGGCCCCTCCCCAGAAGCACTTGCTCTCCCAGCAACAGTTAGCATATGCTTTAAGGAATTTGTTCATACTAGCTATAGAACCTTAAATATGCTTTATTTTAATGGATATTTCATGTAATTCTAGACTTACACCAATTTTGACAGCAATGTAAGAGTGCTCATAACCCAGTAATTTTCAATTTAATAAGCAAACGGAGTTAGAATTACATTTCCATTTAATTATGTTAACATAAACTACTGGGACTGTGTTCATTTTACAAATCAATTCTGGTTATAAAATCTACAAATGCTATCATTTGCCACAACTTAATTATAGCATCATTATGCCAAATTATGACCTTTTGATTATTGGACTTATTTAAAAAGAGTTGAAAATACAAGAATATCCTATTCTGCAGCTCTGCACTAAGGACCGAAACAAAAAATTCCAGATATGAATCCTAGACTACCCATAGCCCACACTTTAACAGCTACAGCAATCAGGATTTTGGGTCAGAACAAGTTCCACGACAGGAAAAACACAGGTGACTGCACAGTCAAAGCCTCCCATTACTCTACTGCCAAGCCTGACCCTTTTGCCCGTAGACTCCATTGAGTCTCACCACACTGGTCAGTGGGAGTTCTTAGTAGCTGCATGTCCAGTGCTCCAGTAGCACACCACATAAAGGCTGTTAAAACATCTAAGACTAGGAAATTGAGGAAGACATTGAAAACATAATTTGGGGAATACTAGAGACTCTAAGTGCTATTTAGTTTTAGAAGAACAATAGCATCATTATGAACTATAACTTCTTCAGAGACATGACATGTATAAGCAATTCTCATGAAAACCTTTAGTTCCAGATATGGACATGAGATCTGGATTCCCTTGCCAGAATGTGCTGTCAGTACACCATGCTACAGAAGGGCAAGGAAGACTTGCATTGCCTGGTACATCCGTGGGGGTTCGCAAAGACTGCTATGCATTCTCCGACTTCTGGGGTAGCTGGCTGGGAGTGGTCAGACTCCATGGAAGCAGGGCTTATCTCCATTTCTCTAGGTCATGACTGGTGATGTTCCCTGGTAGCGCAGAGCCCACACTGCCATGATAATGGCCACTTCACTGGTATCAGTGTGCAGAGTCTGGATTAGCTACCAGCTGGAAGCAAACTTTCAATGAGAGTTCCACTGACAGCTTGACCAAGATTTCCTATCTGCTGTGGATTGTTTTAAAGGAAAGTATTTAAAGATCAAATGGACACTCTAGTTAATCATCTCATAAAAGGATTAAAAACAGCAGTCATTTGTGCCTTCTCTCAATTCCAAAGCCACATGGAGAATAACAGAGCCATTTCTTTTTTCCTTCTCAAAAACATGCTAGATTTTTCAAGAATATAGCATAGTGATGGTATATAAATGATTTTATATGCTAATGACTGACTTCCTAGTATCATAAATTTATTCTTCACTAGCTCCTGATGCTCTATTTTAGTCTGATAGATAAGTGTCAGATATTCTATCACTATTACAAAGTGACCACTTCCTGTCACTGAGCTGCTTCTATTTCTCCCACTTCTAGTCGTGTCCCTGATGTGTTCTTGCTGCCTTTCTGTATTCCCTTCAGCCTCCTTTCAAGGAAGAGTCATATCTCTATCACCCAGCAACGAGAGGTATCCAAAGCCCACCTTATTGTAACTGATCAGCTAAGGAGTTTGGGAGGTTTCTGTGGTGCTTGCTGAACTTACACCCTTCTTATCTGCCAATTCAGTTGCTGCCTTCTAGATCTGGAAGCTGGGTCTGGAACTGAAGCTTCTACTACGCCCTCTTCTCTCACCATTTTTATAGTTTTTACCTTCATTGGATTTGGGTGAGAAGATTTAAAAATAAGTTTTCCATGCAGCGGAAAACACTGTTAAGAGGCGGTTTGACCAGTGAAACCACCCTGGGATTTAGAGTACAAAGAAATACAATTTGGCAGAGTCTGGAAGGGTCACTGGGGGACTTTCAGAGAAGTTAACTTGGGGTGGGGTGGGAGACACCAAGATTATACTGCACAGGTGAGTGTGAAGGAGGAGAATGTGAAAAAGTAAACAGGCCTCTAGGAGGGAAGGAAGAGAGGAGCAGGGAATAAACGGTGTAGGTGGAGGAAACTTTGAAATTGAAAGAGTGAATGGAGAACCCCAGGAAAGAGGAAAGAACTGATTAAAACACAAGTGCTAGAGTCAGCTGTGGACAAAAAAGGGTTACTTCCTCTAACAACCGAAACTGCGAGAAAGGGGAACAGAGGAAGGTATGAGTCCTAATGAGCAAAGCCTGTGACGAGGAACGAGCGAGCTGGCAGGAAGTAAAATTCCAGAGCCCAGGAGCTTTGGGTGCTGTTGCTCCAGAGCAACCAAGAAAGTGCTTTCATATTAGAGTAGCATGCCAGTGAAGCTCTGGTCAGGTGGAGAGCAGCCCTGAGCCAAGTGCTGGCATTTACTGTTCATACAAATCTCCATGCAGGTCTCAGGAGCACCCCACAAGCTAGACAGCAATTAATCCCCAAACTCTCAGGGGTAGACACTTTGCAAACAAAGAAACAAGTTCAGAGAGGTGAAGTGATTTGCCAAAGATTTCATAAGTGAGTAACAGTTGAAGTTCAAAAGTCAGTGTTGTGATTCTGAAGCCATGTTCTTCCAGCCACCACACCTGTGGCTACTAACAGAAACGAAACTGAAGCCAAGGGTATGACTCCTGTGAACAAGGGCAAGAGGGGTAGGTAGCAAGGAAGAAGCTTCATGGAGCATTGGTGCAGTAGGAAAAGGGTGGCCTTTCTGTCCACTGTTGCAGAAATGAGAGTCAACAGAACGCTGTTCCCTTAGCAGGCTGTTCCCTCACCCTGGCAGAGGTAGAGGCTTCCTCTTCTACACCGCCAGTACTTTTGCTCACATCTATCTCCTTTCAAGAAATCAGGTTCAGACACCAAAGTATTTACTTACCCTGGTAGAGCAAACTGGAGTTCCTTGAGAGAGGGGCAGAATTAAGGGCAACAATCATGGCAATGGCAGCCATGAGAAATGTAGAATCAGCTATCAGAAGCAGTAGCCGATGAACTGCACCATCTAGGAAACGCTTACTGCTGGGAGCATGACCTAGGGCAACACACAGGTCTGGCTGAGCAGTTCTCACCACAACCTCACCAAATCTCCAGTGCTCACCAGGGTGCCAAGGCTGGCACTCAAAGGAGTAGCAATGAGCCCTGCAATATGACTCAACTTTTGCTTTATTGTCTCCAGTTTAGTATCATGAGTTTTGATGAAGAAGGGCTGGGATTGTGTTTCTGGGTTGTTTCTCCCCTTTCTGTGCTCACAGAGCCTAGGATAACAATGAGGATACAATTTTAATAACATTGTATCAAAAAGAAAAAAAAACAGGCAGGAGCTGGGGAGATGACGTGGCTGTAAAGTGCATGCTGTGCAAGCATGACCTCCTGAGTCTGAGCCCCAGAACCCACACAAGGAGCTGAGCAGGCAACACTGGCTTCCAGTTCATCACTGAGGAGGCTCAGAACGGAAGGCATCTCTTGGACTAGCCGGCCATCCAAACTAAGCAAATAAGAAGGCTTCAGGTTCAATGAGTGACCCTGTCCCAGGAGACATGGTGGAGAGACTGCTCTGTCAATGCTCACTGACACTGTCTGCTGTGCATGAGCACACACACCAAAGAAGACAGAAAATGGTGGTAGTGTCCTTCAACTGGGAGTGAAGCTTAAACAAAGGGTGCCTGAACCAAAATGCAGATGCTGTGATGTTTATGGACACGGATTTGCACTCGAGTCAGGATTTCAGAGCAGGCTTGCAGAAGTCTAACAGAAAAAGAAGTAGAATAGAGAGAGACTGCGGCACAGTTGGTCAGTCTGCTCAAGGCAGAAGAGCTGGGTGTGAGCTCTAAGCTCAGTTCTCCCTGTGGGATACAGGGACAGGCTAGGCACATCTAGAAACAGAGCCTGCCTTGTCCAGGAGGCTCTGCTGGAAGCAGAGGTCTGCACCTCCTCCTGAGCTGCAGCCACTGTTGAAGCAGAGCAGTCTTGTAACTACAGAGTGGAAGGGATTGCATTTCAGGTCTCTGCAGATGTTGAGCGCTGCATAAATTCCTTCTCATGCTTCCACAATCCCTTTCCCTAAGCACAGAGCTGCACAGCAGGTAGCAGCAATGTATTGGATTTCATAGGCATCAACTAACATCACTCCTGGGCAAAAGACAAGGCCGGCACCAAGATTTTTGACTGAGGATTCCAGTAGAATGTACTGGAGAAATGTTAAAAAGCACAATAAACTGTACTTTTCATACAGTGTTAGAAATAAGTTTTGTCCTTTCGGACACAGAAGCACCTTTTCTGAGAGAGAGAGAGAGAGAGAGAGAGAGAGAGAGAGAGAGACTATAAACACACACACACTCCAATGTTCAATATAGTAGCCATTAGCCAGATCTATTTATATTTAAAGGAATATTGCATATTTGGTTCCTTTATTGAACAGTCACACGCTTATAATCCCAGCATTCAGGAGACAAAGGCAGGAGAGTCATGAGTTCAAATCTAGCTGTATCAAAATTTATTAAGGCAATTTGGTCCAGCATCAAGAAGTCATATGGCCAAGAACTTAGCCTTTGCAACTACCTCAAATGTCAGTGCAAAAAGTCTAAGAAGGGGGGGGGCGCTAACCTGTCACTATGGAAACAGAGAGAGAGCTCAATCATACCAAATGAACAAACGGAACAGAGGAAACTAAACGCTCAGGTGACTTTTCACTACTCATCAAGACAGACTCCTTACCTGTGTCCCTGGCTTGGATTGTACCTTCCCCAGCTCCCACATGACAATCTGCCTTCACGTCCTTCATTTACCACAGAATCCTTCCAGATTACTGGACACAGAACAGGCCATTTTATTTGCTTGAAATGCATCCCCCACCAAATGATGAACTTTAGAGATTTATCAGCTATTCTAGGTTGATA